CTAACATAAACTCACCGATCTCATTCGGATGAGTTTAAGCTTCGTATAGTTGTGCTTGCAGGTGACTTGAACAGTGGTAGGTGGCTCTGCCTTCACCCGGTTCACTTTCAAGCCTAATCCATTGAAGCATTATGCGGTCCGCCATTTCAAGTTTCCGCATCATGGTTGTCAGTTTCCTCACGACATGAGCATGACAATATAAAACCGAATTCGCTCATCCTCACTTTCATTCGCTCTATGCACTCGCTGGAAACACACTCATCATCCTCACCAATATTTGCGAACTACACCGCAGTGTTGATTCTGTACACCATTTTCTCCATTCTTCTTCTCTCGTCCTCCTAACCGAAACTGAAATTTCCTCGTCAGACACCACCCACCTTCAAGTACCCAACTACACTCTCAATTCCTCTTTTCAACCCAAAGCTGATGTCTTCGCCTTTATTCACCAATCAGTCACCGCCTCCAGGATCCCAAATCTTGACTTTCTAATTGTGATTTTCAGCTGTGGCTCAGGTACCGACTTTCTTCCTTCAATCATTACTGTTGTGTTTTATATCATTCTCCCAATAGTTGCGACTTACATCTTTGATTTTCTACGAACATTGAACACTTGTTCGCAATCGACCCCAACTGCCATATTACCATCTTGGGAGATTTAAACGTTCATAATCAGGATTGGTTGTCACTCTCGTTTGCTACTTCTTTGGGTTTGGGGTTTCAGAACTATTGGATGAAACGTGACCTGCAATGTCCCAAGAGGTGTTCAAGATCGGAGTCCAGTGACACAATAACTGCGCTGCGTTGCTGATCGACGTTGGTTTAGGCATGGTGAGTAGTGCGGCAAGAGAGGAAGTAGTAGAAAGTGGCGTCATCGGTTAAAGAATGGATCGGGTTGACAGTTTTGGAAAGGAGATCATTGATGAATTGAAGAAAGAGGGTGGGCGGAGATGGTTCGCTGACTGAGGAAACTTGATATCCACGCGACGAGCACCGAAGGGAACCCGAACATGGGTAGTTTCGCCGGTAAACCTTCGTACCAAACTCGGTCGAAGGCCTTTGAGATATCAAGCGAGACCAAGCGTGTCTCTCCGTGGTTATCGAATGAAACTAATCGGGATTGTGAGACAAGAGCCAGCAGATCACCGGTGGAGCGGCGCTCTCGGAAAACATACTGACGGTCGTTCAATAGTCCTTCGCGTTGACCAGAAATGATGGTTTCAAATACTTTCGAAAGAACAGATGTGAAGGAAATGAGTTGATAATTGTTGGGGTTAGAAAGGTTGCCGCATTTGGGGATAGGAAAAATCACGGAGTGTTTCCAAGGCGTTGGAAAAGAAAAAAGTTTGAGGAAAGATTAAAAAGACGAAGTAAAGTAGGAACCAGCTTTGGAGCATACATTTTGAGGACAATGGGTGGAATACCGTCCGGACCGGGTGGTTTGTTTGCATTTAGAGAACGCAATGTTTGACGGATTTTCCTAGTGCTGATATGAGTTAGAAAAGGGTTGCCAGTGAAGAAGGAAGAAGGTGTAGATTTAGGCTGATTGGGTAAGGTGGAGTTAGCGGCAAACTGGGAAGCAAGAGCGTCAGCTTTCTCGTGTGGTTGACATGCAACTCACCGGAGGAACTACAGATAGGGGGAAGTTGGAAGAGCAGAAATTACGGGGAATTGCTTTGGCAAGGGCCCGAAATGTTTGGCTACTGGTGGCGGACAAGACCAAATTTTACACCGACCGAAGCGTTCTTTGGTTCTTTGAATGTTTGTCGAGCATCTGCTTGCACGAAGCGATGGTGGGAGTCGAGAGTGAGCGAGCGGCGCCAGCGATAGAAGGCTGAGCATTTCAGGCGCACATCACGGTCACATCCATGGTTAAACCACTCGGGAGATTTGATTTGCCGGGTTTGAAAAAGTGCGGAAGAAAAAAAGATGCGTACTTTGAAGAACAAAGTCGATGATGTTGAAACGTCCGAAGAGAAACCAAAGTCTTTCTAATGTTAAGAAGCTGGGAAATTATGGAAACCATTCCAGTTGGCTGAGTTGTAGCGCCAGAACGTGTGACTCGAGGTGGGTGGCGGACTAAAACTGTTAAACCTGATAGAACGAAAAACAATGCAGTGATCCGGTGAGCCAAGCGGAGAAAGAATACAAATATATGAGAAGAAGGAAGGAACCGAAGTGAGAATTAGATCGAGGGTGTGTGCACGATTACCAGCGCGATCAGGAACACGTGTGAAGTGGTTAACTAGTTGACCAAAGCGAAGTGTTCGGCTTCACTCCCCAAAGAAGTAGCAGACGAGTGTGATAGTCGATCCTGATTATGAACGTTGTGACTGGTCACCGTTGACTTACACCTCGCGAAATGCTCCTATATGACCAAGCGTCTCAACTAGTCTCTGCTGAGGAAGCCCTGCTCATTACCTGCTCGTGGCGGTGTTTTCGCACCAAAGTGAGGACGAAAAGCCCACATCCGGGGCTATAACCGGGTTGGTGAACCATTGGCAGTTGGCCTAGGGGAGTTGGCTAAAAATTGTGATTTCAAACCAACCAAGAAGAGGCTTAGAACCACACACACCTTCCTGGTCGCTGCAGGGGTCATCGGCCTAATTGGGTATCGAGGTGTATGCGGTACCTTACACGTTTGACCCCGTCCAAAGGGCGTGATCCAGTGAACTGGACACCGGCCCCCAATAGACTCAGACTCTAAGCTCCGTCCTGTTGTCTTACAGGTCTGGCTTTCTAGCCAAAGGTTTCGGGTGGGGGCCCCAAGGCTATCCCCCTTCTTCGGCCAGGGTAACCGGGAAGTAACATGTCCACACAACCCATGAACACATTCTTCAAATTTCTTTCTGTTCATATGTGGCACATTTACCAGTTCTCTGTAACTGCTTAAGTGTTGAATAATAATAATAATAATAATAATAATAATAATAATAATAAATCTCCCAAGATGGTAACATGACCATTGGGGTCGATCGCAAACAAGTGTTCAATGTTCGTAGAAAATCAAAGATGGAAGAGTCGCATCTATTGGTTAACGATATAGAACATGAATGCACAGAGCCAGAGAGAGGGTGAGCGTATGCGGTTTTGCATTTTCATATTTATGTCGTGAGGAAACCGACAACCATGATCCTGAAACTTAGAGTGGCGCACCACATAATGCTCCAATGGATCAGGCTTGGTGGTGAGCCGGTTAACACCAGCGCACTGCTTCTTGTAGTTCGAACTCCGGCACTTGAGTTCAATTCTCGTCAGCTTACTCTCAACTCAATACCACATTCGTTCTGCTGAGAACTCATGCGATTCGGTTATCCATATTTTGAGTAATTTAAAACGGTAGATGATGGGGGTTCAGTTATTCTATCATTCATCAAATTGAGATGCGCCAATTATCCATCTGCTCGTTTTGCTTGTTTAGTAATTTTGTTCTCGGTACCTCCGACAGGAAATATTGGGTTTGATGAATTTTGATTCCTATCCATTGGGTTATTATTTCCTGTTTCGTTCTTTTAAGATCCCTGTTTTTTTATATTTGTATCCCACCCACTTCAGTAAGCAACGATCGGCGGTCACTTCTGATCCGCTACGTTAATAATATTTTTTCTTCTTCAGGATTGTCGACTGGGAGGATGAGTTACTTCTTACTCGCATTATGGCGTGGTATCTGGGACGTCGTCGTGAGTGCGATCCAAGAGTGAGTTATCTCATTGTTATTTTTACCCCTACCAATCCTACGTATTTTCTTTTTCGTTTTCATTTCCACATCACTTGTTTTTTTCTGAAGTTACGTTCCTGTAAGTGCTGTCTACTGTTTTTAGTGTGTACAGATCTGCTGTCCATATGGTGATTTTAGTGTTCCGAGATTTCAATCCTTCTACCGCCACCCCACAAAATTCATATCACTGCGTTCTCGGTCGGATTGTTGAAGCAAAGAGTTTGGTTAGAGTTCCCATCCTATCTGCAAAGATTATATACATAATATTATATATATATAATATAATATATATGCCGAAAACTTCAGTTTGTATGAACTTCCATGAAACATGAAGTACCCCAAAGCGCATTTGAAAAGCTTCGTTCC